CCGCGCCCCCCGCCCCCGCCCCCCTGCCACTGAGCCCCAGCCTGCTGGTGAAGGGGATCGTGCCGCGGGTGAGTGACCGAGCCGGGGGGAGAAGGGAATCGGGACCCTACCAGCATAGACCTAGCTCCCCCAGAATGCCAGCATGGCAGATTCTAATGAGACTTGTTGCATCATCCATCAGCTCTTCCCTCTTCTCTACCTACCCTGCAAGGAGCACCTGTACTGCACACCTCAGACCCAGGTGCTCCTGACCCCCTGCCCTGTGTCTCCTTTCCACCCACCCCCGTGCTCCAGATTGGCTCTTGATCGGCACCCTGCTGTGAGGCCCTGCGCCCACCTCGCCTGCCTCCTCGACTTGCAATGCCGAATGAGCTGAACCTTGCCAGGGCTGTGGGGATGGGCGTCCGATGCCTCCAAGGCCTTGCCTGAGGGAAGCCTGGTGACTGGCTAGTGCACAGATCCCCTGGCTGGAGTCTTGGGGATAGCCATGACCCTAACAGCCACGACCCAGAGTAGCTGATTCCTGCAGGGGGCAGGTTGCTTCTGTCCTACTGCCAGACCAGCAGGGGCCTGTGTCCCCTGGCAGATCGTAACCCTAGGATGCTCAGTTCCTGCAGGGATGTGCCTATCCCCAGGCGGCTCTGGTTCTTCCTGACCCTCTCCTCCTTCCCTCCCTGCCGGCAGGACTGCTCCTATTTCAACTCCAACGCTGTGCCCCTGAAGCTCTCCTTCCAGAACGTGGATACCCTGGGGGAGAACATCCGTGTGATTTTCAAGGTGAGTCCTCCTGGTTCACTCAGTGCCCGCCCCTGGCACGGGCGGTTCGGTTCAAACAGGCCTTGCTGAGGCCGCTGGATCAAAGCAGGGAGGAGTTCGTTGCAGGACATTAACCGGTAGGACCTTTCCTTTCCCTGCAGCAGCTGAGAGGCCAGGCGCTTGTCAAACAAAGAGCGAGCAAAGGTCTCCAAGCTGTGCTGGGAACCCGCTTTGCTGCACGCCAGGGCTGCATGACAAACCTGGGTCACCTAGACATGCTCTTGCTACACAGCAAGATGGAGGGAGCCTGCCCTCAGGCTGCCATCGACCGCAGGCACCTGAGGCCGGGTCTTCACCCACACAGCCCCTGCCGCAGAAGCCAAAGGCTTAAAAAGCCAGTTGGATCATGTAGTCCCTGGGCAGCATCGAGCCCCACATACTGCACCCCCCTCCACAGGTTGGGGCTCAGTCCAGCTTTCAGTGTCCCAAGTCCAACCCCTTCCAATTCCACAGGCTCAACCTCACTGTTCGCTCCTCTCCTATACGAGGGTCACTCTCCAGGCTCCCAGAATCACATTTGCCCCTTCCCCCACATGAGTCCTGAGCAGCCCCCGATGCACTGTGGAAGAGACCAGTCCTGCAGGCCTTGGGGTATGCCATGGCTGGGCTGGGCAGGGGCAGAGCTGTCAGTGAAAGGCGCCTTGGTAGGGAAGAGGGATGTTAAATTTCGATTAATCAGCTAAACGAGTAGTCGGTGGAGCTTCCATCGACTGCTCGATTAGTCGATAAGGGGGGCGCTCGCTATCCCACAAAGGAAGAGGCGCAGCAGGAACCTGCCGGGCGGCGCTTGTACATTTCCAAGGGAGAGGCGCAGCCGTCGGGACCGGCGCGAGTAGGTTCTGCTTCAGTCCCCACTCGTGCCGTTTCCCTGCTGCCCTTCTGCCTCCCCCCACTGCCCCAACAGAGACGGTGCTGGGGGGAACTGGCTTTTAAGGCTGCTTCCCCCTCAGCACCGGCTCCTGCTTCCCTCTCTCCCCCCTTCTCCCTGCCCCCCAGCCCTTGCTGCCTCTCTCTGCTACAGGCAGGGGGAGCAACTAGTCAAATCGCCACTCAACTACCCAATAAGCACTTGCTTACTGGATAGTCAACTAGTCGCTTACATCCCTAAGGGGGAGGGGATGCGAGATCACCCGTGGGAAAGGGAGCCCCAGAGAAGGAACATGGAAACTCCCCTCCTGCCAGTGCGGAGACGACCTCCGGCAGGACATGCTGACGCTGCAGATGATCCGGATTATGAATAAGATCTGGGTGCAGGAGGGGCTGGACATGCGCATGGTCATCTTCCGCTGCTTCTCCACGGGCCGTGGCCGGGGTAAGTCGGAGTCTGGGGATGCCCGTCTCCTGCTTCCTTCCCGGGAGTGCTCTTTGGGTGCTGCTGCTCCTGTGATGCCCTTGGTAGGGGGAGACTCTGGCACACATACCTGCTCAGGACCCCTGTGGCCCCTTCTCTCTCCCCACCACTTAAATCCACTGGGATGTGCCTGGCCTGTGGCTGTCTTGCCTTCCAGAGTCTTTCCTGTCCATGGGAGCTGCATTACATCTCTACCACCAGGGGGAGATGCCACTAAAACTCTTTGCAGCCTGATTTTCAGAGGCTGATTTTGGTCTGTGCACCTGCAGACAGGTGCCAGGCTTCCAAACTGAGGCATGCACATCGGTGACAGCCAGCCCGGATGGTGACCTTTCTCAGGGGTGCTATGGCCTGGGATCCACAGCCTGGGATCTCTCTGCACCATCTGTGGCAGGGGGAGGTTAGAATGGACCGAGCGGGTGGAGATTTGGGGCACTGACCTTGCACCTGCTGCATCCATTTCCAGGCATGGTGGAGATGATCCCCAATGCTGAGACCCTGCGCAAGATCCAGGTGGAGCATGGGGTGACGGGCTCTTTCAAGGATCGCCCCCTGGCCGACTGGCTGCAGAAACACAACCCCAAGGAGGACGAATACGAGAAGGTAGGAAAGGGGGAGGGCAGGAGGGTGACCCGTCTCTCTGCGGGGAAGGAAGCAGGGGGAGGCAAATAGCCTTTGCCGCTTGTGGGGGATGCACCAACCAATATGCTTCACTTCCTGTAAGCCTGCCACATCCTAGCCAACAGATGCCCCAGGAGCCTGCCTCCAGCACTGCTCAGTTTTGCTTGGGACCTTCAGGAAGTCAACTTGATCTTGGCCTCTTGAGTAAACCACGCCAGCCAGATGCCCCCGTGCCCCTGGCATGTGTCTGCACGTAAGGCCAAGCCGGACATGCACCTGCGCCAGGGATGGCCTGGCTGTACTTTGTCCTGACTCGGTGAAGAGGGCTGTATCTCTGGAGGTCCCTGTGTTTCGGCGCTTCTGTACCTAATGACTTTGTTGATGTGGAGGACCTACAGCAAGAGTGTAAAGCTTTTTTAATGCTTTGTTCCTTTCAGCAAGTTCCTGGTGAAGGAGAGTAGAGGAGCTGAGGAGCCTTAAGTGTCCTCCTCTACCCACGGACCAAACTTGCTCCTAAGAGCAAGGGACTAAATATTCCCACGCTCTCTCCAACCTCTCAGTTCCTCTCTGAACCCCCCCCCCCCACTCTCTTTCCCCATCACCTGCTCTAATCCCCTCTCTCTTTCCCAGGCAGTGGAGAACTTTATCTACTCGTGCGCCGGCTGCTGCGTAGCCACCTACGTGCTGGGGATCTGTGATCGGCACAATGACAACATCATGCTCAAAACCACTGGCCACATGTTCCACATCGACTTCGGCAGGTTCCTGGGCCATGCCCAGATGTTCGGCAACATCAAAAGGTGGGAGCCTGGCATGAGTGGGGTGGGGATTGCTCCCGTAGCATTGCTAACGGGGGCCAAACTTAGCCCCATTTCCCTTGACTAAATCTCTTCTCCCTGCAGCTGTTGTGCTGGGGGCGGGAGTGTTTCTTTGAACCGACAGGGCTGCCGTTGGTACAGTGGTTTGGAAGGTCTGCTGTGCGACGGTCCAGGAGCCTCACTGTTTCCAGCAGGATCAGGGTGTCTTGTGATGGGTGCAGGACAGACTGGAGTGGCGGTCTGTTCCCTGTCCCGTGGTCGAGCTGTCGGCTCCACCGCCCCCCTGCCGGTGCTGATCTGGGCACGTGTGTCTCTTTCTCTGGTGCAGGGACCGGGCTCCGTTCGTCTTCACCTCGGACATGGCCTATGTCATTAACGGTGGTGACAAGCCCTCCAGCCGCTTCCATGACTTTGTGGACCTCTGCTGCCAGGCATACAACCTGATCCGCAAGCACACCCACCTCTTCCTCAACCTGCTGGGCCTGGTGAGAACCCAAGGGGCAGCCTTGATCCAGGCAGGGGGGTGTCTTTGCTCTTACATGGCCTCATTACCGTAGGGTCTCCAAAGAGCAGGCCCTCTTCATGCCTAGGCCTTTTTATGGCATCCTCAGCTGCTACAAGGGCATGACCAGGCCTTGAGATACCTCCCACCCCCCAGTGCTGGGAAATTCCCTTCCCCCTGAGTCTGCAGCGGCCTCTTGCCCACTTTGGTTCTGAGGTCCCATGGCTACTGTGGGCCTGGGGGCAAGATGTGGGGGAGCCAGGCTCTGCACTCCTGGAAGGGGCGGCCGCAGGTTGAAGAGGTGGGGCCAAGGGCAGGCATCTCTTAGTGAGATGGACCGTGGCGCCAGGCCCCCTTCCAGGCTGTAAAGCTGCGCAAAGTGGCACAACTGTGCTCCCGCGGCAATTCAAAAGGGCCCAGGGCTGCGGCCACTGCAGCCATAGCAACGGCAGCAGCCAGAACCTCCAGGCCCCTTTGAAACACTGGGCCCCGAGGCAACTGGGTCCCGGGGAAGCTGCCCCCTTTGCCCACGTAGTGTTACAAAAGCCACATGCTCCTTCCTGGGGGAGGGGGGGGTGGCATGTGGTTAGTCTCACACAAGCGCCCCTCTGGTTGTCTGGGGTGCAGCAGTGACTGCCTGATCCCACAGAGCTCTGGTATCCATCCTCCCCGGCCTGTGTGACTCAAATCCAGGCAGAGTTGGGTTGGACTCTATAGTATGTCTCCTGGGTCATGGAGGGGTATTGCGGAGAGAAGGCCCCCTTCCTTCTCCGCTGGTGGAGTCTTCAGTGGGGAGGCTGGACAGGCCGTCCTCGGCCATGTTTAGGGTAGAGTCCCCAGGATTGGCTGCTCCCCTTCACTCTCCTTGTGCCTTCTCCACCCCTGGGTGCTTGGCACTGACCTGTCTGCCCTGCTCTCCAGATGCTGTCCTGTGGTATCCCGGAGCTCTCCGACCTAGAGGACCTCAAGTACGTCTACGACGCCCTGCGGCCGCAGGACTCCGAGACTGACGCCACCACGTATTTCACCAGGTAAAAGGGTGCAGCTGGCACTGGGCGGCTGCACACCCCACCACTAGGAAATGAGCCAGCCAGCCTGGCTGAAGGGCTTTGTGCGCTCTGGAGAGTTTTGGGGCAGGGGGCGCTACATGTGGCAGCTGCCTCTGCCCCCAGGTCAGTCCCCCTCCCTCACCGAGGTGCCGCCTTCCCTCGTCGCAGGTTGATCGAGTCCAGCCTGGGCAGCGTGGCCACCAAACTCAACTTCTTCATCCACAACCTGGCGCAGATGAAGTTCACCGGCTCCGAGGCCCGCCCCGTGCTCTCCTTCGCCCCCCGCGTGCACACGCTCAAGACATCCGGCCGGATCCACGACGTCTTCCTCTGCCGCCACGAGAAGGTCTTCAACCCCAGCAAGGGCTACGTGAGTGCTGCAGCCTGGTTTCTGCTGAAGACGTGCGGGGGGCGGTTCAGAGACCTGGGTGGGTCTGGAGGAAGGCCCAGTCTCCTGCTATTCAGCAGTTTTCAGAGGGGTAGAGACAGGACCGTCCTTAGGATTTATGGGACCCTACACAGTACTATTAAAGTGGTGCCTAACAGCAGCTTTGGAGGGGGGAAGATGCATGTTTTTAGAGATGTTGATTTTCTAATCATCAGCAACACACACATGAAATGTTTTTAAATCAAATTTTAAACTCAGATCCTGTCGACTCACACTGTAAATTCGGAAACTGACTGTCTAGACCTGGGGTTGGCAAATGCCTGTCAAATGGCTTCATTGCCACTTGACTGGCTCTTTCACAAGTTCAGAGTTCAGCTAATTGCTCTGGCAAGCGTTGTCACTTCTAAGCTAACTAGATCCTCTCCGGAGGAAGCAGAGCCACAGAACAGGGTTGGAAGAGGCGGGTGGATGGATATTAAGACCCAGCAGTGCCCCAGATTTTCAGGTGGCCTATGCAGCTGTGTATTCTGCATATGGGTGAGGACACAAACCAAATTAAGACCGTTGCAGCGTTTTCCAGATTCCGGCCTCATTTGGATGGTTGCATTAAAGGGAGAAAACCCATTTTGCTGGAGGAAAGGAAATGTGGAACCTGCCATTGCGTGGCTAGCTCCACACTGTCTGGAGAAATCTTCCATGGCTTGAATTAGAACCCAGTGCCCTCCACTTACCCTTCCACAAGGCCTTCAAAGATTTCTTGACATTCTGCCTCCCTTCAGACTCGCGCTCCTGAAAACTTGCCCCAGCCTTTAACAGGGTGAAATAGGTTGGGTTTCTCCCGATCTGTACTGGTATAAGTGAGGCTCTGCCTCCCTGTCTTGCAGACCTACATTGTGAAGGTGCAGCGGGAGAGCGCCTGCGAGGTCACCTACATCCAGCGCACCTTTGAGGAGTTCCAGGAGCTGCACACCAAGCTGCGCCTCATCTTCCCCTCCTCCCACCTGCCCAGGTAGCCCT